TTATGTATAAGTCAAAGTATAAGATACACACATATAGTATAGAAGTATAGAAGTATATAGGTATAGAAGAAGTAGTAAAGATAAAGTGATAAAGTGATAAAGTAATAAAGTAATAAAGTAATAAAGTAATAAAGTAATAAAGTAATAAAGTGATAATAAGATAAAGTGTAGGTAGTATAAGTATAGAATATAAGAACATAGTATAGTCAAGTAGTCATATATAGGTATAGACATAAAGAATAATATAGATAATAAAATAGATAGAGGTATACATAAGAAGAAAGGGATATAAAGATATAAAGATATAAAGATATAAAGATATAAACATATAAACATATAAAGATATATAGATATATAGATATATAGATATATAGATATATAAGTAGAAGTAATAAAGGATATCTAGATAATAATGGAGATGAGGGGTATCGATCCCCTTGCCCTTCGCATGCGAAGCGAAAGCTCTACCAAATGAGCTACATCCCCTAAGGTAATAATAGAGATAGAAGAAATGAGAGATATAGGATAGAAAAGAGAGATAATAAGGATAATAGGATAATAGGATAATAGAGAGTATATAAGGAGGAGATAAAAGAATGCATCCGGTGGGGTTCGAACCCACGCATCTTGCGATAGCCGTTCTTGAGACGGCCCCCTTAGACCACTCGGGCACGAATGCTTGGATATAGAAAGTGAAAAGAGTAAGAAAATGAATAGGAATAAGACATAATAAGGTGTACATACATATACATAAGGGTGTATAAGTAGTATAAGTAGTATAAGTAGTATAAGTAGGACATAAGTATAAATAGGAACATATATAATAGAAGTAAAGATAATATAGTAAGATATATAATAAGAAGTGTATAAGTATAAAAAAGATACATATAATAAAAAGAATAAAGATAATAATAAACATATAGATATATATAGATAAGTATAATAGAATAATAGAGAATATATAAGAAGTGTATAAAAAGAATGCATCCGGTGGGGTTCGAACCCACGCATCTTGCGATAGCCGAGCTTAAATCGGCCCCCTTAGACCACTCGGGCACGAATGCTTTG